TTGTCTTGCTTAGCAATAGAAATGTTGGCTTCAATTGTGATCATAGGTCAATTAACTACCTGTAAAACTATCCGTGTTTTTCTGGTTCTGTAACTTTTTATATACATTGAAATTTAACCACATTTTCTCATTTGGATATGAAAGGAACTCTTTAAATCAATGAAACACAATAGAAGTGGCAAATAGGCAGGAAAGTAGGTTTGGGTTGTCTAATATATCATGCATTATTAGACTGAAATGTATATCTGAATTGGCTCATTTTGTAATTCTAATTTGTAAGCACTTTGTGGAAAATACATAGTAGGTCAAGACTGTGATACTCAAGCTTATCTTATATTGGTAAGTCATGATTTAAATCCCATTCAAACCTTTAAAGTTGGCAGAGTAAATCCAACCTGCTCTTACAGTCCATACTACATAATGTGAAAAAAATATTCTTACCTTCTTTCAATCACAGAAACAACCTTTGCATCATTTCTTTGTGGAGAAAAGGGTGGAATAGGAATGGAACTTAATCTTCATATTCTACTCTAAACAATGTACAAAATTTCTTTTATGGAAATTAATGTTTGTACGCTGGCTAGAGAATCTAGAGGAGAAAATATCTCCCAACTCCATCTGAAAGTTTTCTCTGCCTTTTGTTCCTCAATATTTATTGAACTATTCATTTAATAATTTTAATGATAATCTATATAACAAAAAAAAGACATTTTTTTAAAAAAAGTGTCTGAAATAACATCCCAGTTGCATTTGTTTTGCACTGCAGCCCTAAAATTCAGTTGCTATATAATAAGGTTATTTCAGTACAAAATGTTTTTTTTTAAATTTAAAAAAGATGCAGAATAGGCAGAGCTCAGATCATCTGTAGCAGGTAAATACAATATATCAGTGGAGTTGTGAGCAGTGGAATTTCTCTTTACTCAATTTGTTTCTTTGACAGAATATTTCAGTATAAATATGGAAAGAGATTTTCTGTGTGTATGGTTAAAGGGGGGAAAATACCACACATCTAGAAATATGTGATTTATCCCCTAGGTTTGGAATGTAGCCATTATTCAGCTTTGGCTATCTGTTCAAATCTAAATGTATTTCCCCAGTTACTGGTTTTTCTCCTTGAGGAAAATTGCAGAGAACAGCATTTCTTGAGGGAAAGTTAAAAAGACTGCTTCTTTGTGCAATACAGCACAAATAAGGACCTTGCCAAAAAAACTGGTCATTCCTCTTCAAAGGGATGACAGCAAGGTTGAAGAAAATCCGATATGAGCTCATAAATGTTTCTTAATACAGCAATAACTGTAGCCCTTCATAGACATATGAATCTATTCATCATATTGTATGCCTTTGCTTAGAAAGTGTCTCCACCCAATGTTTGATTTCTAAAGTCGAAAACCATATTACAATCTGCCTTCCCATTTTCCCAAAGATATCTTCCCCAGGGAGGAAAATTTAAATTTTCTATCTCATCTACAGCATGGTTTAGAATTTCTTTTGGATTTTATTTAGGTGGTGCTTTTGACATTAGTTGTAGAATGACAGAACAAGCTGCTCTTTCTTGATCACTTTCCCTGACTTCATCCTTTCTGGTTTCCCAAAGGTTTATGAGGAAGGCCCTCTCCAGCTGTTCTGTGTTGGGGCTGAAATGAGATACAGCAAACCAGGAAGATTATTCACCCTCTTAGTGTGAGATGACTGTAGGGTAACTATTCCATGGTAACGGTTACATAATTACTGATGTCTGTGCATATAAGAAAGTGAAAATCTCATACTTACGATTATTTCATCAAAATTTTCTACTCCTTTGCAGGAAAAAAAAGTGCAAGAGAAATTTTTAGGGGAAAAAAAACCCTAATAAAGACATTCTTTTTCTAAGTTAAAAAATCAGATGAACATCTCCCAGTGCTAAGTTAGACCCACAGCAATGATTTCACCTTTGCCCTCTTTAATACCACTTGGTCTGATCCTTTAGAACAGAAGTCTCCAACCATGGCAACTTTAAGCCTGACGGACTTCAACTCCTAGAATTGGGGAATTATGAGAAATGAAGTCCACCAGGTTTAAAGTTGCCAAGGTTGGAGACTTTTGCTTTAGAAAGAGAAGGACAATAAGGCAGAGCACAGGAAGCAGAACGATCTGTAGGAATCCCCATTGGTACAATTTCCAATGACTCTCATTCTACCCATATGGCTTTTTATGTATATCCGTGCAAGGACATGCTTAGGTGGTACAGCCAAATTCCTGGCTCCTTAATGTTGCTTGACTGAAATCTGTTTTAGGACTAAAGATGGTGTTGGAGACTTTGTGGTAGGGAATGCCAAAATTAAAAGCAGCTGCCTGATTATATTCATATATTCACAGCATGTGCCAAAAATTCCTAATGTGGGTGGCATGCTTTGAAACAAAGAATCTTTCTGTGGGAGGTCTGTTAAAACACACAAAAATGCACAAACACACAACACCACTAGAAGAAAAGTGGTGATGGCTGGGGATTTTCTCTATTTCAGCTCCTTTAAAGAATGCAAATAACTTTAACACACTTCTACCTGCTAATGTGTATAGACTATTTTCAAACCATCTGAATATATACTCAGTATATATTCATATATATAGGTATACATTGCATAAGTTATAGTTGGTGGCATAAGGCCACCAGTAGTTTGGCTTGCAAGGTAGTTTCTACAGTAGAGATACCAGCATGAATGTTGTAGTATGAGCATGCTTCGAATAAACTGAGTTTGATGTATCCTTTGGCCTGCATGTGGCAAAACTGAGTTGTATATAAATTGCATGTAGCCTGGGTACCCATAAGCCTGGACATTTTTCTATACCTTTTCTAAATGGCTAAAGTTCTTATGTGAAAGCCAGGTAAAGTCCACCAGCAAACTATCTCCATTAAACTAGTGATTTATCCAATTTCTTTGAGATGATAAATCCCATAGGGGTTTTCACAGTGGGTGAAGTTAGAACTCCAATATCTCTGGAGGAACTAATATTTATATGATTATGGATATGATTTGTTTTTTCTATCATTTAATTCACAGATGGCCCCTGAACATAAATTGAAAATAGCAAATAGAAATAATAAAGCTGGTTTTCAAATGTATAATGAGTTCTTTTACCTCTATCAGTCCTATGAAGGGATACCTATAATAATCATTGCAGAAGTAAATTTTTAAATACCACAAATTTTACTGTCAATGAGGGCTAATGAGTAATGATTAGCAAATTAGCCTGTATTAACAATACATTTCCTTCAATTGGACCTTCTTCAACTCACCTGAGTCAACTAATACAAACTTAAAGACTTCACCCAATTACCTCTTCCTCCTAATTGCTATTTCTTGATCTCAGAAATTCTAACGGTGTCCTACTTCAGCTTTCATTCTTCCTGAAATTACACAAACTATATATACTATAAAAGGGTGACATCTGCTGTCTGCTTTGCTTATCACTTTATGCAGAATGGCGCTGAGCAAAATGAATGTTAAAGAAGCATTTACACAGCTCAAAAAATAATATTATGCATAAGCCAACAATGGGACTTTAAGAAAACCATATGACTTCAGTTTCTTTTGTCCCAACTAAATATTCAAGGATTCTTCAGCCTGCCTTCATAAGGCATGTCCTCAAGTCCCTTTATCATCTGAAACTCTTCTAACCTATTAAACTTCTGAAAGTGTCATATCAGAACTATGTCCAATACTCCAGGTGTGATTCCATCACTGGAGAACAGAGGGGAATAAGGACTTCATGAGGTATTGATCTGTGGATATGATTGTACTATAAGCCTGCATTCCTACACGCTTCTATCTGAAAGTTAGCCCTATGGGGTCGATCTCAAAGGAATTGGCTGATTAAATCACTAGTTAAGTGGAGAAAGTTTGCTGATAGACATTGGTATTTTATCTGGCTTTCACATAACAATAACCAAATAACACATAGTTATTTCCTTTTAAATAAACACCTACAGGGCCATTATACACAAGGTGTCTGTAGTTTGCCAGGGCAAGTGTAGAGTTTTGTCCAAATGAAGGAAGCAGCATTGTAATAGGCATCACAAGTTGGATCTCTTTTATCTGTATGGCTAATGATATCACAAATATAAAAGATGGGATTTTTGTCATGACAGTGCAATACTCTTTGCCTCCTCTTCAGACAGCCCTAACCATACAGTTTCTTTGCGTTAGTGACAGTGGGGGATTCAATTTTTTTGACTACCGGTTCTGTGGACGTGGCTTGGTAGGTGTGGCAGGGGAAGGATACTGTAAAATCTCCAGTCAGAGGTAGTATTTGCCAGTTCTCTGAACTACTCAAAATTTCCACTACTGGTTCTCTGATAGTGATCAGAACCTGCTGGTCAGAACCTGCTGAATACCACCTCTGGTTAGTGATCACTACAGAAAGGACATTTGATAAAAGTTTTGAACCAAGAAGCTATCTCTGATGGGATTTTGAATTTTGGGATGAACTACTGTATTAAAGCAAACTAAAATGTATAAGGAATTTTATTATGGGGATAATAAAAGCCTCTTAAGTCTTTTTAGTCTTTCAACAATTGCTCAACAAATTTTGTACAGAATAAGAGAGTGCATTTCTTCATTGGGACAGGACAACACTGTTTTCACCTTCGCCTCCTCTGTGGAAAGCCTTGACTGTACAGCTTGTTTGTGCTAGTGATCAAACAAAAGAGGACATTTGGTATAAGTTAGAATAGAGTTCCCCAACCTTTCTGGGTTGGTGGCCCAGAGGATGGGGGAGAGCATGCACCTTTATGCCTGCATGCGCATGTGTGAACGGAAGTGGGCTGCAGCCCACAAGTTCAGAACCCCTGAGTTAGAACCAATAAATTATCTCTCTTGGATTTTGAGTTTTGGGGTGAATTACTGTATTAAAGCAAACTAACATTTAGAAGGAATGCTATTTTGGGGATAAAAGAAGCCTCTTAGTCATTTTAATCTTTTAACAATTATCAACAAATGTTGTACAGAATAAGAGAGTCCATCTTACTGATAAGTCTAGGTTTTTATTAATTCTGGAAAAGTTCTTCCACTTAATGTTAATATCCAAAAGAAGAGAAAAGAGTGAATGGTTGGACTCCCCTACCAGATTGTTGGACTTTAGCTGCTATTATCTTTGACTCGTCATATAACACAACCAATAACCGTGTTAAGGTTATCGGAAATGACATCTGCCATATCTGGAGACTGAGGAAGGCACTACCAATTCTTCTTGAACAACTTAAGTATGTTTACTCTCACGTAGAGAATCAAACACGAGATGTTTGTAGCACTGATGATCTCTTCAGTTTTTGCAGTACACCTCATATTTCAACTTCATTCCAAGCTTAGTTTTTGCTACAGTCTCCTCAAATTTTCTGTCCATTTTTTCATTCTGGCTTTCTGAGAAGACAGATGTCCAATCACCTACTATGCCTAAAGAAAAGAAAAAAAGCCCAATTAGAGTAGTTGGTGGAGGGTAAGGAAAGAGAAAGTCTTTCAGTTAACCCAAAGAATAACTATTCTTCAAAGCTCCTCTAAAAGCAACAGAAGGTTTTATCACACAATAAAGACACTTCCATGGGACTTCCATTTTCAGGAAGTGGTGTCCACTTCATACGATTCATGAAATGTTAATTTTAACAAAGATATTTTATGCATGCTTAGGAAATGTTCTATTTCTCAGATTTGGAATAAATCTCTCCCCCACTGCCTTATCCCTCAAAAAAGGTTCGCTTAACTATTTCAGCTGAAACCTTGCATACCATGAAGCCCCTAGGTTACACAGGATTGCTAAGCCTTTTTGGCAAAATTATTAAAAAGTTACATGTTACCTTTGCGGAAAAGTATTTGTCCCATTTTTCCAAGGGTTCCTGCACTATTTTTCATGCTTTCAAAATGTGTTTCCTTTACAATGCTCTCAATCTTTTCTTCGGTCACAGAAAGATCAAAGAATTTGGCTATTTTTTTCAGTGATGAGGCTGGATTCTGAATAACCCAAAAATATATATAATGTAAATTAATAAGGCTTCCCTGGAAACATTTCAAATATCTCTATTCCAAGTCTAGATCTGGGTACCACACAAAAATTTCTATAATTGCAAGTTGGACTTGTGTGAATTAGAAAAAATAAACAAGTGAAACAAAGCACAGTCTTCATTCTTCCATTCTTTCAGCCAATCTCATTGTACATATGTTGTACTCTGACAATAAAGGTTGATTGATTTCACTGAAGTGTTAGCAGGAGTAGATCAACTGATCCAGAGGTTGATTTTAAAAAGAATTTTTTTCTGATAAATTTACCAATTGCTTAGAAAAAAGCAACCAAGCAGAAACCTTGAGTTATATTTCCTATTTTTATTTCCTAATCAGTTGTTCATTACCACATAGTAGTTGGCCAAAAATAATTATATTCTTAAATTACATCTAAATCTTTATTAATAAAAACTTACCTCTTTTACCAACAATGAAGTAAACAATACCCCAATCAAGAAACAGCCAAAGAAGTCAACAGCAAACATCCTAATCAAAGAATGTCTAAGACCACCCCACCAACACTGACAGGAAAGCCACCAGAATATAAATTGACAACAAACAGCATTCCTTACTAGCACTGATAATGTTACCTAGTTTCGGTAATGAAATGTCTGCAAGAAAACAAGCAAGCTCACAGAGCACCAAGGAGCCCTCACTTACCTCTTTTATCTCCTCATAGGTAATAAAAAATATATTGCTATCATCAAGATACTTGTTCCATTCAACAATATAATCAAAATAAGATCCATAGACCACTGAGAGGAATTAAGCAGAACATATTGATTACTTATCCATAACAGAGTGAATGAAAATGAGTATATATATTGCTGTTTAGCCCCACAAACCCACAAAGTAAACAAACAAACAATGGTGTGAAGCTTATAAGACAAAGTTTGGAATAATGGAACAAAACCCTTCTCTGAATATTTCTTCCAGGAGAAATTCAGAATTACCGCTTTAACATCAGACATGTGGAAAGTCTGCTTTAAATAATATTACAGAAATATAATTGGCCAACACCTATTCATTATTTCAATTTATTATTTATTTAGCGTATGGCAAATACATGGACTTATAGTGGTTCAAATGTTAATATCCACCCAGCTATTCAAGGACAGGGTGGTCTATATTCTTCCCATTAATGTTTTAGATTGATTCCAATGTGATCTCTTATTGTACCCTTTCTATTTAAGATTTTGTTCTGATTATTAACAAACATTGAATACTCTATGTGATGTAAATTATTGGTCACCATTATTGGTCACTGTCTCTTTTATTCCTTAAACATGAAACTTAGTCAACTGAACATTTAAAAATGTATCACAAATACCAGTGAGTGATGCTAATGGTTGATATGGGTTGCTGCCAGCGTCCTAGGTATCAACCAAGTATCTTCTTAAAATGTACACTGTTCCAAGTAGCACAGTTTTTTTGCAGTTCCGCTGGTGTTATTGCAGGAAGCTGCAATTTCTTGATGTGTTTTGTAAAATTATTGGACATGGTACCAAATGACAATGGGTATCACTGTTACATGTTTCATCCATAACCGTGTAGTTTTGATGGCCAGGTCGCGATATTTTGTGATTTTTCCCAGTTCTTTTTCTTCAACTCTGGTGCCTAGTACAGCAATATCAATAAATTGTACGCTTTGGCCCTCAACAACCATGATATCTGGCGTGTTGTGTCAGGGGTGGGTTTCTACCAGTTTTGTCCACCTCTGTAGAACTGGTAGCTCTAAAGAGCAGCAGACATAGAACCGGTTCTATGTCTGCTGATGTTTTTGCTCATCTGTCCACCCGGGCTCTTACCTGATCTTTATTTCCTGATTTTTCAACTTCAGCTGCCGAATGAGGCACAGCTGCAGTTAAAAAAACAAGAAAAGAGGGCTGTTTCAAAGGCTGCTTCTCATCTTCATCAGCAGGCAGCGTGCTGATGACGTGCTAATGATGATTTATGACAATTTACAGGCGCACGGCTCCGGTAGTTAACCCTTTCATATCCCACCCCTGTGTTGTGTTCCAAATGGCAATCTGTCTATGTTCAAAAGTCCCACAAGATCTTCACCGTCTCATTTTCGACAACTTTTTCCACTTTATTTTCCCATGACTTTTCAAATATAGGTGGTATTATTATTATTATTATTAATAATAATAATAATAATAATAATAATAATAATAATAATAATAATA